TTTTAATAGAAAGGACTTGACTGAGAACATCCAAGTATTTTAAAGAGTAATTATGGCGTTGGAAGGAATTAGTTTTTCCACATTCACTACAAACAGTAAATGCATCCTCCATCAAGGAAGATCAGGTTAAAAATAAAGGAAATCTTCTCCCAGTTAGCATACTGAAACAAAATAAAAGACTGTATACTTTCTAATAATTTAAAAAATGGCCAAACATAATGAGTGACGTAAACGTAGTCGATCCTGCTTTTGAGAATATCAAAATAGACTACATGAATTTCTGATGCATTTTTAAACCTTTTCCCTAAGACTACAGACATTCAAATCCTTTATCCTTCCAGTCTAGGCAAAATCAGGGAAGGTGTATTCTCAAAAATGTCAGGCTTTTATCTGTATATCCCCTGGGTATACCTTAGAATCACAGAATCAAGGTTGGAAGGGACGTTTAAGATCATCAAGTACAACCTTCAATGTGGAGCTTTAGTCTTATGAAACAAAAAGCTACCATAGCCTTTAAAACCCCCTAGATTTAAAAACAAAACCAAGATTGACCTCAAACAAGCTTTTCTACAAGATTTTGATGGATGAAGGAGAAAACTGAACAACTCAAGTAATTTCTTGAAATATTTTCACATGTAGAATCTTGTGGCAAATTCTGTTTCTTTTCCCCATCTTAAAGTACAATTAGATTGTTCCATAGTGATAAACTGCAGTATGAAGTGGCAAAAAATTAGGTTTAAAATTCCAGCTTATCTGGTAACCATATCTTTAAGAGCAGCTGCTTTATCACTCCTCCTCTCTACTTTAATGGTCAGCTGCTGCTTGTATATCTCTCTCAAACTCCCTGCACAGATTAAATGGCTGTGAAGAGTACTGGTCCAATGGGACACAACAACAGAGCAGAAAGAGAATATTGCTCTAGTTACAGTGCCATTTCCCATTTCATACAAAAGCATGCCTTTCAAAGTTGGAGGTTCATTAGAAAATTTTAGGTAATGGTTTAAGAGTCAACCCCCCTCCAGTGTTCTTCACTAGAGAGAGTAAATGTGACATTTGTGGTGCCAGCAGTCGTATTGGCAGAACACCAAGTCACATTCAGTAAGTTTTCTTTTGCAAGAACCATATACCCCGTTCCCATTTCTTCCTCTTTGAAGGACTGTGTTAAAACTGAGGCCAGTACTTAGTAAACCACCAAGAAACTGGTTACAAGAGCCATAATTCAGTGTATTTCTGGTGTAATTCTGATAGCACATCAGTGGAGCTGAAGTATTTTTATCTTTACAAGACCTTTTGCTTGTTAACAACATCTGCAATCTTCTCACCAGTCCTCCAGATTGAGAGGTACATTTTTCTCAGGAGGTTTGTATACCCTCCCTTTGTTTCAGCCTTAAAATATTTGATTTGCCACCAAAGGAAAATATTTACTTAAGTTGAATTATTTTGAGCAACTTCATTTGGGAAAAAATTGCAAAGAAAACTGAGTTAGGAATTGACATACTAATAGGAAGGGAAAGAATATCACAGTGCAAATGGAACAGAGCTAGTGAATATCAATGGGAGGAAAAACAGCTTACTTTAACAAATTTATGAAGACACTTGTGTTGCAAGAGAATGAAAAACTGTATTAACTTCAGCTACCCATTTTTTAGAATTAAATGAATGAAAAAACATTGATGGTATAGTGAAACTAGCAATTACAGGTTTCCTCTCAACCCTGCTCATCGCTTCTGACTTTCTGATGATGGGAATGAAGGAAAATTCCTATAAAGTTCTCAGAATGTAATTTAATGTGTCACATTTATAGAATTGTAGAATTGTTTGGGTTGGAAGAGACCTTAAAGATCATCTAGTTAACATGCAGCACTACAGCTGGTGAATACTCTTTACACTTGAAGGCTATGTAGCACTTTTAAAAAAACAAACACTCCATTTGGGTTGTGATTTTAAAAACATCCCCCTACAACACACAACGAATTTACCTGCCCAAAGGTTGCCTCTTTATTTCCATTCTAAACCAGCTGCTATTCTAACTGATAGTGACAGAATCAACAACATAAGATAATTAAAATTGCATGAACTTGTATTGACATTAAGACACCTTGGTTGGTTACCTTTCAGACTGTAGGAGGAGTTTTCATGTTCTGATTGAGAGAGGAGGGGAGGGTATTTAGTCTGAGCTCTAAGGCTTCTAAAGGCATAGCTCCACAATTGCTGAAGTTGCTATTCCTCAGCAACCTAAGCCAGCCCTGTTGCAGACTGCTTCAGGCCCTTTTCTGCATTCCTCTCTTTATATTTGAAAATATTTTGTTCTCATTTGCTTCAGCTGCCATCAGACCCACAGCTGAGTTGGTGTAGTCCACTAAGCCAACAGAAAGCCACTTTATTGTCAGGTTAGTTTTCTGCTAACTTAGACTGTGTTCCATGGCAGTCTAAGCTGAGCTAAACCTATATGAGCTACTGCTGCCATCCCATCTCTTCTGAGGCACAGGTGCACAACTGCTTGGAATTGCTGCACGACGGTTTGTGCAGCTGCATGGTCGAACTAGATTAGGGATCCTGAGCAGAGTTAAAATGAGAAGAAAAACAGTGAGTTTGAGCCATGTTGATTCCATTATCTGGCCCACCAGACAGCAACCCAAAAAAGGGATAGGAATAAACATGACTTGTTTTCTCTGGTAGGAGCAATGTAGTTTACTTTCCCCCCCTCCAATTACAGCCTACGCAAAACTTACTGTTCTCACAAATGATGACAGGCTGTAGAAAATAAGGGTCTCATCACAACCCTGAACTCAAAGAGAATAACTTTGTTTTAGAGGAGAAAAGGTACTGGATACTACACATTCTGGAGGAAAACCTATAGAAATAAAAAGGATACTGGGCTTGTCCTATGGGGTTCTGATTCAATTCCAAAAGACAGCCAAGAAGAAATTCTTCAAGAAAACGGAGGCAATGAACACCATATTAATACCAAGCTATCAAAAGAAAACAGATAAGGAAAAAATCCTTACCTGGATGATAAATGAAAGGGGTATGAACTCTCATGCAGCTTCCTTAAAGAATTCTCAAGACTGAAGCATGGCAAAAGATGATTCTACATTCCACACTGAGAAACTGATAGTACTTACTCCTTCTAGTACAGCAAAAATTGGTTAAAAGTGGAATTAACAAACAGCTGCCTGTGACTGGATTTGTCACTATCTGGATTTCCCAATATTTGCATGGTCACTGTAGCACATAGGCTCAACAGTGCCAAGTTTTTCTTCAGCTTATCCTGTATACTTGAAAGGTTTTGTAAGTGGGGGGTAGGGAGAGAAATCAGTAGATACTGGTTGAGTACAGAAAGCTGTACAACACAAAAAATTATTATCTTAAAAGAAATGTATTTTAAAAATAGCATCTGGTACAAAAACATAATTCCCAGGGTAGATTGCAGAAGCTCATTTCAAGTACTGGCACACTATTTTAACCAAGCCCTGTGAAAACTCCACCAAAATACCACCAAACTCACACCTGTCTGTGGCCTTATTACATAGATCACACATGGCACTTTCAAGAAATTAAGCATAAAAAACTGCATTTAGGAGTAAAAATTTGTGAGCATGCTAGTTATCCAACAAACACTGATTTAAATTTACATGTATAAATATTGCATTCAATGTTTAATCTGTAGAGGTCTTAAGAAGAGAGAAGTTCAGTGCAGCAGCAAAAATGTGTAGGTTTGACTATAAGGAGATCTATGCAATGAACAAAATATTCTTTTTTGTAAACATGGGCATAATAAAAGACAAAAAACTGAATTCAGAGACAGGTCAGAATACAGAAAATAAGACAATATCACATTTAAAATCCTGTTTTTATGGATTTTATCCAAGCTTCAGTGGAAACAAGTTTGGTAGGAAATGCTGCCAGTGACAGATGTAGCACATTCTTCTAACACTTTCAGCTGCTGACTAATGAGTAGGTGTTTGATAGGGCAGTTGAAACGAAAATGGTTCATTAGTCCAAGCCTATGATTTCATGTAAAACCAGCTAAGGCAAAAGAATTCACACACTCAAGCAAAGTATTTTTCTCTACAACCTTTTTTTGGTAGTTCTTCATTCACTAGCTATCATGTTTCTCAATCTTTAAAATGGTATGTAGCAATTCGGACTGGATAATTTCTAACTATTTTAATATTATTTAAAAATCATTATTATTAAAATATTTGCTCATTTAAGAGATCTAATTTTCCTGTATGAACACTAAACAATTTCCAGGTTTTGCTTTTAGAAATGTATATACTTACTCCACACATTTCAATAATTATTCTAACATTTAAAAGAAAAATAAATACAGGAACGTATGTTTATGCAACACTGATAATGCTTTTAAGATCATAGTTCAAGGACAAAGTTGCTAAAGTAACAGGACAAAGAGCCTCCACAGTTCCTCCACATGATTCAACACATACACTTAACTGCTTATGCAGTGTTTTCCACTAAGGACTTTTTGTTTTGATAAATTAAATACTGGGCTGCCAAAAAACCTTTAAAAGCTCTAACAGCGTCAGGATCAGAAGGACAGCACTTAGCTCCAATGTAGTTCACCTACAAGGGAGAAGAGAATAATCTGTTTCACAAAACTGCATTCACTGATGTTTTGCATGAGAATGAATTTGTTTTGCCTCAGTGTTTTGCCTTTTAAATGCCTTATGAATTAGGGCAAATGATCTTTTATGGTAGCATTATCTTGTTTAATCTACCATCTCTCTTTGCATAAAATACTTTTATCTAAACAGTCATGCACCACCTTGCAGCTGGACACAATTCCTTAATTGCCACACAGGCCTACAAGAAGCATGATTAATCTGGAAAGGCCAAAGTACTGCATCTTTGTTCTCTACATAAATTACAAGTGGCAGGAGTAGGTTTCTGCAATGAAAGTGATATTAAACATTGAGATCTCCATTCACAACAGAAGAAAAATGTTCCTCAAAACCGCAAAGCAGTCCATTAGCACCATGATTCCCATAAATTTAATTACATTGCACATGTCCAGTCAGTCTCTTTTGTATCATGAAAACAGATGTTGGTTTTAAATGAACAGGTAACACACTCTGCTTAAGTTTAAACATATTCCAAGAAGAGTTTGTGGAAATTATCAACATATGTGGCTGAATTTCTCTGCAACACAGAGAACAATACTGCTTCTTCCTTTACTTGATATCAGTTTTGCTTACTTATCTTTACTCTGCAACTGAGAAAAACACACAATCTTACATTTCTGACCTCTTGAAAAATTCTCACTTTTTCCTCCTTTCTCGTGGTTTCAACAGTTTTAGCAATCAAAATTTGTTTCAATTGTTATTTTTTTTTTTTTAGGTATCAGACTCAAACTAGAATCACCTCTTCTGCAACTTTGATTCATCAGACTTTAATATTGTACAGATAATGAAAACAGAGCTATCTCCTAGACAGCCATTTATGGCTTAAAAACATTAGGAAAGCTTTAATAATGCTTGCCTCCCTATCAGAGTTCTGTATCACAGGCAGACAAGTTGAGACACCACCCTGATGTTCTTTTACACAGAACAGAGTCAGAATTTGGCACAGCTATGAAGTCTCTGCCTGAAAAAGAAAAAAAAAAAGGAGCCATGCTTTCTGCATGAAATGAGCTCAGAAAAATGACTTGTCATGTTCATTATTCCTTCCCCCCACTTTTTTTTTTTTTTTGGTTGTTTTGTTTGTTGGTTTTTTTTTTTTTAATAGATACGACTGATAGTACTTTTAATGTTGAAACCATTCTAAGGCAGAAACTGGCATCTCCACCAGAAGATCAAAACCAGGACTGATCAACATGCATGGCAAGATCTTCAACAACAAAATACCAGAATCTGTTTAATCATATTACATGCAGTTATTCTACATTAAGAAAACAATTTATACTTCCCAGCACTAAAAGTCAGTATGTATGTCCACAGCTGACAGTGGAACTCATTTCTTCCTGCTTTGATATTTACATTTATATGAATATTGTATCCACATTTTTGAGAATAAAAACACAACTCCTGGAGGTAAACAGTAATTTTTAAAATATTCAGAACTGTATTAGAAAATAAAAGCTGAACTGCAATCACTAGCTTTAAGATTATATCATACAACATTCACTTTTATCTGAAAAAAACCCAACCCAAAACAGAAAACCAAACCAAACAAAAAACCCAAACCCGAACCCATGAACTAAATCACGACACTGGCATCCCAGGAGTCCTCTACATGGTTATAAAAGGATTTTACCCAGCTTTAAAGAAGTATATGCAGAAACGCTACAAAAAAGCATATTTTTGAATCATGCCCAAATTTACATATGCATGACTATCATATGTTCACAGGGAAAGTTTGCAACGCTTGAGAATATTAAGCATCAAATTTGTTATTCTGGGACTAACAGAGAACATTCTTTTAACGACTGTTACTTGTAGGTTAAAGTCAGATTTGTGACACAACCATATAAAACATTTTATCCCAGTCAGGGTGTTTTAATATTGCATTTAAGAATTCTCATTGCAACATTTTTTTTTACATACTGTAAAGATTCAGACCACATCCTTAAAAAGCTCACCACTCTGGACAAGTTCTCTATTTTACAGTTTACTACACTTACTGTTTACTGAAATTAGCACACTCTTGCAAAATAACATGTACAAATACAAGTACATTAACCTGTTTGCACAGCTAAAAATCTCTTGTAGCATATAAACTAAATGTAGATAATGGGTAAGGGAGCACCTTAGAAACACAAAATTAGCAAAATTGCACCATGGGGAAAAAATGCCTGCCAAACTGCAACGGAAGTATTAGTAAAATTATAAACTTTTATGAATATTAGTTCTCATTTTTAATAACACGTACATTTTTTAAGCATTAAACTTAAATTTTACTTTTCCATATTAATATTCTTGAATTGAAGTGAAATACATTAACATTTAGGTTGCTACTTAACCAGTTATGAAATGGTCCTTTTTGATCTTGGTCAATTATTCAGCAAGTCCATCACAGCAGCAATGTAAATCCTGCAGATGTGCAGATGCTGAAATTCACTCACTACTCTCATGTGGTAAGGGACAACTACATTCTCAGTAAAATCAGAGTGCAAAAATTTTTATTTTTTAAGTAAAAAACCCAAAACAAAACAGAAAACCACAACAACGAAAAATGGTTACAAAAAACGCTCCTGGGAAAATTCAGAAAACATGAAGTTGATCTCCTAAAGGTTTAGATAGCAAACTGAGTGGAATTTACAAATGTTTAAGTGGTAAAGTTTTCTTAATATGCATGTAAGAGAAGGAAAAAAAATCTGAAAGTAAATGCAATTACTTCATGAAAAACTAAAAAAAAAAAAAAAAATCCCAAATCAAACCTAGGAAAAAAAAAAGAAAAAAGAAAAAACCCATACCCTTCCTTTCCCTCAGCATTAAATACAGGCCATTTTCTTGTTTAGAATTTTTAGAGACTTGATCAGTATGATGGTCTTGATACTAACTCCATGAGAGCTGAAGGGAAATTGTATTATTGCAGCTGTCAAGTGCACAAGTAAAGAGCATGCAATTCATAACACAGTCACAGGGCAGGATGAGTAGCACACACATCCCTCACATTCAAGCTCTAGAGCTTTTTCCAGTATATGATCCATTTGGGTTCATAGAGGTAACCTGGAATCAAGCACTGAAATGAAGATGACCCATCAACATCACCAGAAATAAATTGCAGCACACAACGAACTAAATCACAGACACTGTGGAACTGTTTGTTAATTTACAATGAAAAAATTATCCATAATGTAAAAATGAACTCAAGCTTCTTGCATAAATCTGATGTAAGCAGTTGCAACGAACACAAATTCCTTCAGTGTCTTAGTGGTCAGGTACATATGAGCTTGGATATAGTATTTTTCAAATATATTTATAAAATATCAATACTGAACACCTATGCTGCTTATCTCATAGAGAATGTATTTATAAAGTTTTAAAAAATTTTAATCTTTCTTTCTTAGGAAACCAAAAATGAAGAAACTGGTAAATGTCTGAAGGCCAAAGCACCCTTTGCCATTTATATTTGATAAAACCAAAGCATTAATCTCCAAGCTTTCACATCACAATCAAACACACCTTTAAGTCCAATAAGTAATTTTTTCCAATAAAAAACTTAAACCAAAACTCAACTGAAGTTACTTTCTGTAACTGAAGTACCCACACTGTAATGTTAGCTACAAAGGAAACTGGGTAAGCAGAAATCAACACAGCACAAGCTTATTGACACAGAATTTATCTTTTTGATGAAAATAGGTAAGATCTTTTCGAGATGTTTGACACCATCCTGGAGGCACTTCTCCAGAGATACTTCTGGGTTATCTGTGGGCAGACAAGTTACCTGTTCTACCCAAACTAAATCAGACTGCATTGCACCGTGCTGCACTAGGCTGTAGCTTTACTTATAGATCTTGATATTCCACAAACAAGTTGCAGAGACCTCTCTTTTCTATGTTCAGTTCTATTCTTAGAGCTTCTTAATTCATAATCTATTTCCTTTTCTTTGTGCATTATCTGAGCTATCCTGCTCCTCCATTTCCTGTATAATCTGACGGTGCACAATGTTAATTGTAAATTGCTCCAATGAACACAAATCATACCACATTAATACCAGACACCAGGGCAAACATGCTGGTATTTCCAGAAGCTTATCATCAGCACTTTTGTGCAATGCCCACGAGAAAGTTTGCAGCACGCCTGAAGACCAAAAAAGTATTTCCTAAATACGAAATCTTGATGAAAACCCACTTTGGTAGCTCCTCCTTTCCCTTCACACTATTTCAAGTGATCTGCTGACCTCATCTCCAGCCCTGTGGCACAAAAGAAAGGTGGTTATCTCAGCAATGCTGCAGGTCATTTAGAACTTACCAGTTAAAAGCTTTCACATATCTAATATGGACCTTAAAGCATGCAAAGACAACACCATTCTATTGTTGTGCTTAAAATACAGTCTCGGGTAAAGTACATCACACCACATAGTAGTCAATGCAACATTTATATGAAAATACACATCTCTTGGTCTACTATAGACAAAAGAAAGATTTCCTGTAGCTGTAGAAATACAGTCACCTGTTACAAATTACAGGAGTTTGAAAGCTGGTTAAACACAGTTAACCTGAAGAAACACTGTGTTCTTCCCAGCACTTCATAGAAGTGAAACCCTCCTTAATAATCTCAGCCCTTTAAATTAAAGCCTGCCGGTCCAATTTAACTCCTGTCCAGACACAAGCATTAAACAACACACTTAAAGCTGTCCAAAAAGAAAGTTTCTCAGGTTCACTTGACCCACTAAATGCACATCAAGACAAGTCTCTTTGCACATGTTAGAGGAACAGCTTCACTGGCCAAAAGTATTCGCAGCAATAACAGGTTGGAATTATGTCAGGAGTGAGCACATGCAGTGAGCAGAGCAATTATACAGACACCTGCTATGACCCATGAGACTGGACACAGCTTACTAATAAAGCTATTACTACCTTTACTAATAAAAGGTAGCAATTACTACTCATCACTAGATCAGCAATTGCACCAGTGTGATCCTTGACAGCCTGGGGATGTACATACAGCACCAGGCATCCACCAGTGAGAAGTTTCAGATCTTTTCTTTCATTTCACCTGAGAGTCGGGGGAGTGATTGCAGACTGAAAGGCAAATACAGTGCACATGCATAACAACACTCCTACCATTTCTTCACATCTAAGTGCACTGTGTCAAAAATGCTGGAATGCTCTCAGAAAACACCTTAGATGGTTTTTAAGACTTTTTTTTTAACTTCTCCCCTCTCTAAGCCTAAGCAGGTATTCCTCTGCCCTTCACTGGCCTACTAGTTTAAAATGACACACAGCCAAGGTGGAAACATCTAAAACTTCACCTCACTCACTGTAAGATGGATTCCTTCTCCCCTCTCTTATCTGCACTCATTTTTCCCATTTCCAGCTCACTGTCCACTCTGCTCAGTTCTGGTCTCCCTGAGCTGCAGTCGCAGGCACAGGCACGACCAGAAACATTGTATTTAAAATAGGATAAAGTAACTAAGGTTTTTCTTTGAGGCTGAATCTTTGAACAAAAGGTTACTCCAGTCAAGGTGTCTGTATGCCTAACTTATAAAAATCACCACTTTAATTCAGTGTCATTTGCTCATGTTACTCATGCCCTCGATATCACAGCTTGTGCATGAACCTACTCTGTCAGTTCAAAAGACAGAACATGCTATTCATATTCTGTGCTGCTAAATATTCTTATTAACAAACTTAATAAGTAGATTGAAATTAACTAACTAAGCAGCAGTTGAGTCTTGAAAAACTTTAACAGCATGTTGTATATATAGGCTGCTATACTGACATGATGGAGAGTATTTCAGATTCTTTTTGTAAAAGCAATATCTGTGTGAAGAGAAGAATCTTGCAAACTAATTTGATCTTGTATGAAAAGCAGTATAATTCAGATGGTCTGAGAAGCTGAGTTTATTTCCAAGAAACTGTAATGCATTATAATAAGAAAACAATGACTGAAGGAAAGAAGTTTTATCCCCAATATTTTCACATTGCCTACACCAGTACTACTCAACATTTCAGTGATCAACTTTGAACACTGAAAAGCAGTACAGACTGCACTTCAAAACAGCTTTTTTTTTTCTCTAAATAAACCTTCAGAGCAAATCAGTAGCTCATAACCAATCGATCAATACATCTCACCCCACCTGGAAAACTCTACCCTAACACATGGTACTACAAGCTACCACAGCACACTATGCAAACCTGTATCTACACAACAGGTAGTAGCTAAAATAAAGATAAAAGCTGTGTAACAGAAGACACACCAATTATCATCATCTTTTCATCACAGTAAATAGAATTCTAAGAGATCACAAAGCCTTAAAATCGACAAAGGAAAAATTCATATTCACTAAAAAGATGCCATTCTGACCCATGCTCAGGAAAACCAGACCCATAAATAGTCACAGGCCAGGTCTTCTCATAATGCCAAGAGAAATTTTAGCACAAACAAAGCAGAGTTTTGCTCAGAGTATGCTGCACTGAGGACAGATGCCTAATATTTTGCTTATAGTGCCCAAATATTCTGCTTTTACATGAGACGAGTGAATATGCTGTCACACAGACATTGCCTACAGTGATTGCCAAGAAAGCAACACACTGCAAGTCCTCAAATATCAGGCAAAGGAAAACAAAAAAACCCACCCCAGTGCAAGTATGTGCCATTTGCAAAGGTGCATACACAATATATTATGTATGCTGTCCAGATGTAAGTATAATAGCTGAAATGCTCCTCAGCCTCATGCACAAGTTTCCCCACAAGAGTAATTCTAGTTCAGAAAGACATACCTTTTAAAGCTGGCAGTTTCTGAAGCTCCCTGTTATTGCTAACATTAAACCTTGAAGAACTCTGCCGCTTTTCCTTCTTCACTACTGTCTGTGGTGCTGGTACTTTGATTTTAGATAGTTGTGCTGGGGGAGGAGTGCTATTTGATTTTTTGTTTGACACCTGTTTAGAAAGAAATTAAAACAGTTAATTGCAGCTGAACTTGGGGAGAAAATCTTATAAAAAGTGATTTTTGTTACAGAAATGACTGAAGCAAAATAAGCTCTTAATTAAATTACTGTATTCATCATCCTCTGAATGTATAGTCACCTATTCTTCTGCAAATCTTTTCAGTGTCCATTCCTGTACCACAGCCCTCACATAGATGGGAACAGATCACCCTGACACATGCACTAGCCCGTTTATTTGAAGTTACCAGCCAACTGAAAAGAAATTTTCAAATAATATAGTTCCTTAGCTACTCTCACCTTTTACCCTCTGAGAAGTCCAGGTCTCCAAGGTATCCAACATCAGCTTCAAAGGGATCACAGGAACTTGTCTATTTACAGCAGCTGAACCTTTCACTGCCTATTTGTCCTGTACCTTGCTGCCAGAGTCCCAAGCTTGGCTGGGGTATTCAGGCTTTGATATAAAGTTAGAAGGAGAGAGTCTTACTATTGCAGTAGCTTCAACAGCTTCTAAAACATACATGAAGATGTGTAGCAGTTTCCTGCCTACTCAGAGCAAGTTGCTTTTACTGTAATAGTCTTTATCAGACTGTCACTGTTCCTCTGTATGAAGTTCATAACATAAAACCAGAAAAATGGTTCCCACTACAGGTTTCCAGTTTGGTGTTATTTCCCAGACTACACTTGACAGTGCTCTCTCTCAAGCTGAATAAAATGCATCATTAACAAAAGCCTGTCAGAACTTGTAATGCTGCCTTTCTCATTCCTTTTTCTTTGAAGGAGGAAAAGCAGGTTTAAAGTAGGCAATAGTTAACTTTTAAAATATGAATAATGTCATGACATTTTTTACAAGAATGATAAAACATCTAGGAGTGATCTACAGTAAAAGTATAGGAACAGCTGATCAAGACATCTTACTGCAATATTGCAGTTCATTCTGCAGGCCCTTAATGTGCTGTAGAAGTCTCTCAAATTTGCAAGCTAGAAGCACACAGATCTTAAAATATACCTTGTCTTCTTTTTTTCCCCACAAGAAAAACCATATTCTCAGAAAGTGCCCACAAGATAAGAAACAGGGAAAAAAAATTCATATGGGAATGAAATTCATGATGGAAATCAAGCTGTAATGCTGGTACTTCAGCAGTTTGAATTGATTTAATTAGAATTTTGTTAAGTATACTAGGTATAAAAGCAGTGCTTCCCTCCTGCTTGAAATAACATCAGTGGCATTTTCACAGGGCTATTGCTAAAATAAGAGAAACCAATTTTCTTCAGGTTCTAGAAAGGATTTCCAGAAAAGCTTATTCATCAGCAATTTGCATAGTCTGGGAGTGTACACATTCAGTGTGCATTGAAATGTTACCATACATAAATTTATCTACCTTTAGAGTCTCCAAGACAGTAATTTTATTCAGATTTTGTCCTAGCAGCATAACTGGGAAATAATATATGTTTCAAGAATAGATTAACAATTGTGTTGTATGGTATTATACACACGGTACTTAAGATAGAAAGCAACTGAAAGTAACATTTTGTTTTCATTAAACATTTAAGATGCCCATTTTGAAAATTTCATATCATAAAACCCCCTTACAGCCTTATAGAACAAATAAGGGGAGACAATACACTGAATATTAGAAGTCTCAGTTACCAAAAGCACTCTAGAACTTGTTTCAATAAAAATGGCATATATAAGCAAGTTAAAAGCATTTCTGTACATCACAGCATTACCTGTTACATCACATTTTTCAGACTATTTCACTTTTTAATCCCAAACACTAAATGCTTAAAAGTGTTTTTGCTGGAATACAAGTGATCTGCAAGGTAATTTCTATCTACTAACTGAAATTTCAAAAAATGCATTACAAATAAAAATACTAATAGACTAAGCAGAAAGAAAATCTAAGAATTAGGAAGCAATGACTTCCCATGTATTGAAAAAAAATGCTATTAAGATTCATTATAAACACTATTACTGCACAGGATTCTGTACTTTCAATATTGTGCTTGAGCCTAATGGTATTTTTCTGTGGCTACCTTCCACTGCCACCTGCATTTTGTTCATTACTTGGAACAGGAAAAGCCATTTTCCTGTTTCCTCTATTCCCAAACAAATTCTCAATTTCAGATTAACAGGTGCTCACGTGTGCCTGCACACACTATGGTATCCTAAGGTAGCACATACCTCAGGAAGGTAAGTATTCTAAATTGCAGATAAATTCTAAAATTAGCCAAAGTGGTTATTTAAGAGGATGGGTACCACTTCTAATTAGAAATGTTGAAAGAAAGCATTTTTTGTTGCTATAGCAACCTCCCATCTAGAAATGATGACTCCAGAGTAATTCTAGCCCTGAATCACTGGCCATTTATCCAACAGATTTCCTCCTCCTTCCCACCATCAAGCACGATCATCCCTGCGTTTCAGTCATGCTCCAGTCAGCCAGCACATACCAGAAGGTTGCCAAAACAGTTTCTAAGTCATTATTACTTCAATGCCACACAGCTGTACTCCATGACCTCTGTAAGTGGCACTATGGTGCTACCACAAGAGAACTGGCCTCCAGAGTTTGCAGCCAGCCAGCCCTTGGATAGAAGGGCAATTGGAGAAAATGAGTTAAGTCAACTTAAGCCACACAGCTCAGCAATTTTAACCAAGCCTCTAAAAAAAGTCAAATAAATTTAGACTAACAATTCTGTATATTCATCTGCTAAAGATTTCAAGGTAACACACTTTTCATGAAAGGTACAGTGCTTGCTAGTTCAGATCAAAGATCCAAGCTCACCTTCCTACTCCCAGTAACAAACCAAACTACTTCAGAAACCACAACTCCTGACAATAAGTAATGGACATTCTGCTACATCAGTGAACAATTCGATGTATATGACACCAGAACAGTCAAACTACAGGTATGTTTTTATCAACTCTCTTCCTGTGACTAGAATGGGAAATACCTGTTCTTCCCCTTGTTCTAGCAAAGGCTCCCTCCTACCCAAACGTCTGTATACTGACAGACACATTCAATTCCAAAAGTGCTGATAAACCTCTAAAAATGTGTTCAAACTACTCTGAAAAATGTCAGATTAAGAATGTGTTTCTTCAGATCATGATTAAAACACAACCCTCAGTTTTTCTCATCAATTTATTTTTAAAAATCAGAGCTTTACATACTCCATTGAACATTAAGACAATCAGTAACAGTGTGATTCCAACTTTTAAATTCTGTTTTTAACAATCAAAAGTATATGGTTCATGTTCATCAGTGCCTTTGACTAAGCTTAAAATTAATCTAAGACAGCGAAAGACAGGGAGGGGAGAAGGTTTCCTGCCAGTCACAACAGTTCAAGGTAGATTGCCCTTGCATCCCTTGAGTCATCCTGCATCAATCAGGCATGATGTGGTACATTTTTTGTCTCAACATCACTTTTTTGAGCGAAGTTGGATCCTTCACCCCCTGACATGTACACAGGTAAGGACAGGTCAGAGCACAGTGCTAAGTTTGCAACCAGGGAAACAAAGGCCAAGCACATCTACAGCCAATTTTTCTTTTTTAAATTTTTAAATTAAACTGATCATCATCAAGCATCCCAGAATGCAACTTTTACTTTCGGCCGGCTCTCTAAGACCATACTGGGACCTGTAAGGAGGGTCCACCCTGCATCCCATATATGTCAATAAGTTAGAAGACCCTATCCTTGCCTTTCTGACAGTCCCCCAAAAATGGTATTCAAGCTACCTTGACAAACAAGGGCAACCAGAAGAACTCTGTCTGACCTTACCTTTCCAAACACACTTGCTAATAACTGAATGAGAAGAAAGCACACAAAGCCTTCTGCTCCACAAAACCAAAGCCAAGCCAAGCCTAGAGTGGTATCAACTCTATAACGATGCAGCAAGCTTGCATATTGTTTTCTAAGATAAACTGGTCAGAGCAGGGTGAGGATTTGAAGATGATGGTAAAATCACTTGGATCCCTGTGTCATTAAAAGATTTAAAAAACTGCATGGTTTATTAGTGACAATATAAGCACAAGGCAAGAGAGAGTCTCTGCCTGAAGAAGACATGGTGCTAGGCAGCACCCTGTATGGTGTTCCTCCACACAGGTCAGTCTAACACTAATCTGCAAATTTCTTCCCTCTAATGAGTATCACTGCTGAATTCAAGTTTATATCAGTGTGGTATTACCATACCACAATGGCAGCAGCAAGCCAAATATCAGCAAAAACTTGAGAAAAAACTCTGGACTATGAAATCTGGATAGTTGAACCTTGCACTAATTAACACATGATTAAGATTCCCTGTGAAATGCAAGTACACAGAGCGACACTTTAAAAGAATCATTGGTATGAATTTGAAAGAGAGGAAAAATGGTTATATTAATGCAGATTTAATCTCTTCCTTCTTTTCCTTTTCGTATAGTAAGTAGCCTCCATGGACTTATTTTTCATTAAGATAAACAGAGGTCTGATCTATAGCACCCAGAAGAGCATGTCTCTTGCCAAGACAGACTCAGAATGCTATGAAAGCATTCTGGATTACATCTAAAACATACTTACAATGAAACTGAAATACAGTTTACTGAAACTAAACAAAGATCATGAGAAAACATGAAAGGGACATTAACAACTTGATTTTCAGAACTGTATGAGGGCCCAGTATGTAACCAAAATAATTTGGTTAACAGGTTGAGGCCTAATACATAATCAATGTAATTAGGCTGAGAAGCTGAATTTAATTTAATTTCTTAAGATGAGAACTGAAATCAAAGATCAAGGAGTCAAAATGGGTGGAGAGCAGTTAAAGAGCCTTCCATGCAGTATTTTTCCCACTGCAGTAACTTCAAAGTAGCGTGATAATCTCTGAACACTCCAGGAATCTTGAACATTACCATGGAGTTCTCTTCT